CTCTCTCTCTCTCTCTCTCTCTCTCTCTCTCTCTCTCGGCGTGAGATCGTATTATGCATAGCGTCGAGTCAGCAGGCGTCACATGGAGCGGCTCCGGCGACGACTGCGACAACGACGACGATTGTCGAAGCGTCATCGCATATAATATAGGTCTATAGCTCGACTCGCGGCGCTGGCATTATATGCACGTGATACATGTGCCGTGCTGCAGTCATATACGTACATATATAGCCAATTGTAATCGAGTGCAGCAGTAGCAGCAGCAGCTGAATCGCACAAAGTCGAGATAGCTCCAATCACGTCTACTCACGCCTCGTATGAACGTACACGCGTGTGCTCGGAGACGTGTGTACGCGTACGTACATATGCATCCTAGTTCGCAACGTATTGGCCATTGTAGGTATTATGGCTCTGCAGTCAGATTATGCTGCGTGAATATGTACAATTTGTAGATGCGTCTTTCAGCAATGTTTTGGGTATCGGTTCTCACATCAGATACCATAGGAAATAGAAAAGTTGTTGATTGGAAGGACGGCTACCTCTCCACAATATAAATCTACTTAAATATGAAATAAGTTTTATTTTTCCATTGAAGTTTATTGGCGCCCAATGTATTTGTAAAATATTTTTCATTTTTTTGAATTCAACTTGACTCCTTGTGGCATGAGACAAAACCTTTATCCATCGAGTTACTGTAGAGCCCAGATATCTGCAATGAACGCACATGTCTATTTCCAGAGCTTGCAAGAGCGTACCTATGTGTGTAGCAGTGACACTAGTCCCTCTATCATATTTATTAAGCTCTGGTTCTCTCTCTCCCTCTCTCTCTCTCTCTCTTGCGCTCTACCTGCATCCATCGGCTCGAGAACGTCGGGCTATTTATATTATTAATCGACTGACAACCAGGATGACGTACATGTCACTTGTGGGTTTGATTATCGGTCGACTATCGATGCCTATTTTATCTTTTTCAGTTTTATGAGACAAAATTGCATCCAAAAAGGAGAAAGAACGAAATAAGTAGAGAAAGAGTAAACGCACTCGCTCGATAGTGTTGCAGTGTCTTCCATGAGCGTCGGTATGCAGCCTCGTGACTTTCAGTCTTGTGTATTTTCTGCTGCACCACAAGCATATCTGCCAAGTTTTGCGCGCGGCTTGTGAAGTGTCGCCGCCTCACGGAGATTCGGTTAAGCTCCTTTGCAGCAGCCTCATCCCCTCCTTCTTTTTGTGTGTGTGTATGTGTGTGGGTCTCTCTCTCTCTCTCTCTCTTGGCCCGGCTCCTTCTTCTCCTGATGCGCATTGCATGTCGCCTTCGCCGCTCCAACTGATACGTGTGTAGTGGGGAGTTGGAGAGCGGCGCGGCTGTACCCCCGCCGGCCTCGTTATATTACGATCGAGGGGAACGACATCGATGCCAAGGAGCGGGGATATGCGCGTGTGTTGGAGCGTATATGTGTTTGTGTTGGTGCACATTTACGTATACATGTATATAAAGCGTGCCATGTATGTCAGTGGCGCCTGTGTAAGTGTACACACATATACACAAACTCACGATTGGGAAAAGTGACCGGAAAAATCCTGTAGGTCGGTATTCAAATCTCTGCTTTGTGTATGTAGTTAATCTGTTGATTTTTCGGATTAGTGATTATTACCAAATCATCGATTCTATTCGAACGGAGTAGGCGTGCTATTCTCCCACGATCGATGAGTGTATCGGAACCAATATATACGTAATTTTTAGATTTTTCTTCGATTTATGACAAGGACGTTTTGTTCTGTTTATTTTCATTTTACTTTTTCTTTCTAATAATGCCACTAATGACTGCTTAATGTTTGTCTTTGATCGAGAGCATAGTACCCACTTGATGCCGTCACCAGGCGTACTCCCATGTGTAAACGTTATAATCACTCAGATTTTGGATTACGCATTCGTTCGGAAGCTTTACTTTTTTAATTAATCAACATGTGTTCCGCGGCTGCCAGAAATTTTTCGTTAACGATTATTCGGAAAAAGATAAGTACATCTCGGACACCTGTGCCATGGAGCGCCTCGAGTAAATAAAGATTGGACTGTGTGTGTACAATAGAAAACCACAAATCACTGCATTCGTGTTGACGATTGATGACGATTGACCAGAAGAAAATACAATCAATTATCAACAAATGTGCAGAGGTGAATTAGGCATGAATACAGGGAAAGGAGGAAGAGATGGAGAATCACACAGAGCAATGACACTTTGCCAAATAGCGCCCAACTTTTTCCGTCTCTGTCTCTTTTACGTTTGCAGTGCAGTGCTGCAGTCTCCGCGCGCGCAGCGGAGAATCTATCTTTGTTTGGCGAGAGTGTACAACGGGCTTCACCCGCGCACTCACACAGATACACACACTCACACATAACGTCTCTCTGATGATCTTTCTTCGGTCTTTTATTTAACTTCTCGGAACTCGTTTACTTGTCGTGCTATATATTTATAGAAACCAATATGTTTTCCAGGGCGCCCGGCTTTTGGGCAATTCGCGCGTGCCCGGTTATATATCTATACATGTGCAAACTCGCGAAGAGAGAAAGAGAGAGAGGCAGAGTATGGCACTTCGTCAGGCCATCGACTCGTCATCGTCATGTGTAAAACACACATATATGTACATATACAGATATATTTGACAGGCGGGCAACGTCGTGGCGCGTCTGCGTCGAATTTTTATGATTATTTCGTACGTTTGAATATATTATTCATGAATCATCGCTCCCGTAAAGCCCCTTTATCAATCACATCTCGATTTTTTCTTTACATTAGCGTAGGAAAAAAAATAAAAGAAAGATATCGTATATCGACTGCGTGAGGTAGCGGGGGGAGCTCCCATAATGTTTGTATGTGTCAGTAGTACGCATGCATTTACGGGGGTGCGCGTTCAGTGCAGGTTGTACGAGCGCAAGCCAGTTGGTTGTTTAGCGTTATAAGCTGCTACAGCTCGCAGCCATCGTTTCTCTCTCACGCACATACACACCACACGAGCTGGCTTATTTTATTAGAAACCGAAAACACACCCACACACGTACAAACATAATGCACTTGACACTGCGTGATGCTCCTTTAATAACAGAAGCCTATGTATAAATATACAGCTTCGTACACGCTACAGGGATGCGCTTGTTTGAACATTTTCTCTTGGTAAGAGAAAGAGAGAAGAGCGAGAGAGAAGAGCGAGAGAGGACGATTGTACGAGGCGTGACAATTGTTGCCGGCCACTTGGCTCACCTCACGCTAACACACATTTCGGACTGCTGTCTTGGGTGGCGCGTGCCATTCCAAAACTGTTGCCGCAACTATCCTCTCTCTCTCAGAGTATAAACGGTATAAGGAGCCCGAGCCAGCCAAGCCGAAGAAACTTTGGCTGGCTTTCCTCACCCTCGCGCAACTGCTGCTACTACTGCTGCTGCTGCTTGGCCGCGCGCGTGTGCAACGATCAACCCACCCTCGCCACTCTCTACAATTCTTCCCCCTTTCAACTCTCTCTCTCTCTGTAGGTGTATGTGTGTATGTATACATAGCTAAAATTACTATGACCTTGCTAGAATTGCACGACTGACCGAGAATCTGACCGACCACCAATTACCAAGCCAAGAAACACCTCAGCCTCAACGCGCAGCAGAGACAGAGATAGAAAGAGAGAGAGAGAGAGAACTTGTGCACTCACTCGCGGCAATATTCGCGATAACTACCTGTTTTACTCGACTCTCCGATATTACGATTGATGCTCGATCGACTCGACCTACCGCAGCTCCACATTCATTTACACACCGAGAAACTGCAGGAGACTCATCCTCCTTTTCTCACCGGCTAATCAGTGAATCAATAATTTATCGCATTCTTCGAGCTGCTACTCGCAGCTTACTTGCTCGTTTTGCTCGCGTAAAATCGATCGTCTCTTGCTCTCTATCTATCGTATTCGTTTGCTTACGCTGTACACGATGCTCTGCACTCGGTGCCTGCTTTTAATAATTAAAATAGAAAACGCTCGCGCGCGCGCGGCAATCTGACGTCAAAACGCCAATCACTAAAATGAAATGATAATCCAGAAAGAGCCTGTCAATTACAATGATCGCAACAATCCCGTGCCCAATTAGCCCAATGATCTTTCGCGGCAATAATAAGTATAGATATCGTTTCGCGTCCCGAAATTTGATTATCGAGAATGTGAAGAGAGAGTTAAGAATTAAATGTATTTGAGGATTATTCAATTTGTCACTCTCTGCGGCACCCTTATAAATATTTGCCGCGTTTTAGCCGCTAATTTCATTGAACCCTTATCGAAGCACAGCTCGTTAAATTATGTGCACGAAATATGCTCGACACTGTCGCGGAAAGAAAGACGACACTTTTTTCGATTTGCCATATCGCTCGACGATAAGCAAATGACGACCTCGACTCGGATACAGTATACGTATTAACTCTTATTTAGTCGATTATTAGCTTGTCAAAGATAGCTACTGGCTCTCATCGTGCGGCAACGATAATAGAAATCCCGGAGTCGCGCAAAATTCAATGATTCAATGAGCTTGGTATATCCGCGCGAGCAGGAAGCTCGATCGGTATATAGGAACTTTGATAAAATTACTGAACGCGATGTTCGTTAATAGACACTGATATAGCTCGTGATTTGCTCTCGAACGTGTTGCCTATATCGATTTCGTAGCGGCACTCGTTTAACCAGCAGGTCTGACGCACACATGTGTATTATACGCGCGCTAATACATCAGAGAGGCCAAACTGTCAAACAATATCCGTACGGTTCGTCAAAGCGTTCGAGAGAATTCATCATATCGCGTCATTCGTGCAGTCGATTATTTACGGCGATGATCCGGCGTTTCGGAGCCAGGTTAATCCCCATCATACATCGTAAACGCCACTGGTATTTAACACTCGCGCACACGCGTGTCCGGCCGGTATATAGATCCGGGGGGGAGGAAAACGAAGCTACGTAATGGTGTGCGTACTAACCTGTTGCCAGAATTGGGCGAGTAAGTAGATGCGCTCCTTCTTGAAGAGCCACTCCATGGACTGCATGGTCTGTAAATCCAGGGCCGAGGTCTCGGCCGAAGCCTGCATGCTGGCTAGAGCTGCCGCTGTGGCGGCCGGGTTGACACCGGCCGAGCCGAGCGAGGCGAGGAGGGCTTGGGCCGCGGCCGGCTGCTGCAGGGCCGCCTGTACTGTGCCACTGCTGCCGGCTAGCAGGTTCGCGTGGTACACCGTGGTAGCATGCTCGGTCGCCGACGAGGCCGCTGGATGATGATCGCCGCCGCTGCCGCTGGCTATCGCTGCTGCTGCACCTCCTGTTGCCTGGAGTAACTGGGCCCCGATCGGCGCAGCGGGCCCCTGGAGACCCAGTGACGAAGCCACTTTGACGGCTTCGTGTCTACCCGCGGATGATGACAACGAGCCCGTGACCACCGCCAGGCCTTCCTCCGCCGCCGCAGCCTCCGCGTCGAGCGCTGCCGCCTGGGCCTTCAGTTCTTCGTCCGCGGCTGCGTCTTCGCTCCCGGTGCCAGCCTCGAGACCTCGCGTGCGTCGATCCACTCTGCCGTCGTTGATGCTCGAAATGATTCTGCCGCAGCGACGCTCCAGAGTCTCTTCCGGACGAGATTACTTTTCTACTATCGATGATCGCAACATCAACTCTCACTTTAACACCAGCACTCACTTATTTATTTATTTTTTTTATTTCTTCAATAAAATACGCGAGAGTCCGGCTGTCCTATAACCACTGATTCTCTCTTTTTTCTTTTTTCGAAAATCACCACTTTTTTCCTTTTTGCAATATTTCGTGCTCGTAACTCAGCGAAGTTTTACTCGCAAAATTTGCATAGCCACTAGTGTATAGATCGTTTCTTTCTCTCAAAAATATTGCAATCACCTTTTTGACACACTGATGTATACGCGATGCACTCAACTTATATAGAACACAGAGTATGTGTCACTGCTCAATGTTCTCACTTGTCAACAATCGCAAAACAGTCTCGTGATCATTTGCACAGGCGTAGTCGAGCACTATGGTATATATCACTGAACGACGAGTCGAATTGTTCTTGCTTCACTGTTGCTTGATTATTTTGCTCGGATCACTGTTGCTTTCGCCGCTGTCAACAACTTTCTCATCGGCTCTGCTTTTTTGCGTCACTCGATTGGTCGTCGACGCAGTTCCTTTGGACTCGGCACCTGCAGCATTGACATGCAAAAATAGCACATATATAATCAACGTGTCGACGTCACAACAAAAAAATGACTCTAAACGATTAATAATGCAAAAAATGCATGCGCGTATTGGCGAATATAGTGTCGCTCGCGCGCGTATACATATGCTCTCCGCTGCGATTATACGGGAGAGCGAGCGACCCGTACGTGCAGGCTCCTAACCTGAAACTAAGCGAGCCAGCGCGGAGGACCGATTCACCAAGCAGGAGGGCGAAGCGACGGCCGGCGAGGTAGGGGCAGTGGGCGTGGCCACCGAGCGGGGAGTGGGAGTGCGGTAGACGCGCGCGGCCCAATCACCGGCCGGCTTTTACCCCTCCGGCGCCCGCCGCACGCCCGTCGCCCGAGCCCTGGTGGGGGGGCCAGCTTCGCGATCGTGGGGGGCGCGCGACTCCGCGATCGCTCGCGAGCCGTGCTCAGGAGGCTGCCTGCCTGCACGAACTCATCGAGGATCTCGACGCGGATATCTCGGCGCGCACCTCCCGCCCTTTTTCCCAACCCCATCCTGCCAATCGCTAGTTTTTCCCGAATAGCCCCGGTCTCGGAACAATCTACCTATACGCGACGCCGTACGTGTTCGCGAATCGGTCGCCCTTCGACGGCACAACTTATGCGTGTAGCAGCAGCAGCTCGCTACCGAGCTTCGCTGGCTTTTCTTCTCCGCGCTTGTATATGTGTGTACTGTACGCACATATATACATAATACACATAAGCTTTTTCTAGCTATTTCTCCTTTCTGCACCCACAACCCTCCCCCTTCCCTGGTGGCGCTTTTTCTTACCGGGTTTGTTGGCTTATATACACACACAGTCTGTGGAATCTCCAGATGACGGCAGAGAGAAAATTCTCCAGCGCCAATAACGAGCATTGCTCGGCTTTGAAGACGCAAAAAAATTACCGGGGGCCACCGACTCTATGCACACGCGCGCGCACACACACACACACAGCACGTATTGATTCTTTTTTCGGCTTGCTCCGAGAATGCATTTTCTTGGGAGCGAGCTTTCTCGAGCTAAGGCTATAAACATTGATATATATGCTCTTACGTGGCAATCATTAGCGAAGCGAGTAATTTTAATAACAGCTTTGTTTTTCTTTTCTCTAGCAATCAATAGTTACCGAGCGCAAAAGAATGGAAGTCGCGCGCTCGCAGTGGTATACATAACGCCTTGCAGCTCGTATAAAAAAGTAATACGCAGGCTGAATTTGTGAAAATTCGCTATCAACGCGTATTAAGCATTAATAGCCGCGCCTATACGTGTTATATGCACACTATTAGCCGTTTAATTCTGCAACAGCTCTAAAAGTGAATACAGCGTATCAGGGGTCGCTCCTGCGTTGTAGTAAGCGGCGATAACAATAATAGTGCGTGGGCTAACATAGGCAAAGCCCCTACTTCGCTATGTTCATATTTCGAGCTGTTGCAGAATTAAACGCCTTATAGTGTACACGCACGAAGAAAAAAATATATATATCAAACTCGTAAGGCATAATATAAATCTAGGTCTGAATAGTGTATTACGTTCTCGGGAGTGTTTCATATTGCATGATTGTTTGCTTTTTATTCTGAAAAAATTATTGATTGTGACGCACAGAGCGACTCCCAGGCAAATGCACACATAAACAAACAGACACAAATAAACAGAGCTACACTAGAGTGACTGACAACCTGCACAGATAATTCAATATGTAGCGCATACTATCGTAATAATAATTGAACATATATTCGAAGCGCGTAATAAAAATTAGAAATATTAAAAAGGTCATTAACTCTGAAAATATCGCTTAGACGGTTTATCGAAATGGTGCATTTTATCTTTTCTCCCCGTATAAAAACTATTTATCATTTTGCTAAACTTGTATTATTGTTTGAGCTTATTTTTATCCATTTCTATTTTTTACCAGTGCGCAATGCACAAGACTAATTTTTGTTTCTATGCTGATGGCTTTTCAAAATCAAGAGTTTACGAGTTTGTGGCTTGTAAACATATTGTACGACCAATATATGCAAGTACACGAGGGTAGCAAACTAGTTACAGTGTATTGCAATTGGATGTTGTTAATTTACATGTACATCATGTCTTTTGCCTTTTGTTCATTTTGTTAAATTGATTAAATTAAAGAAAAAAACGAAAGAAGCTAGAGGCAGAAAGTCAGAGTTTCTTAAAAATATATAAGAAACTCGATTTTATTCAGAATGTGTGAAGAACTAATGACAAACAATTAACAATTTTAATGGCCAACGTCAATGACTCTATTTTCATCTATCTGACCAACACGAACCTGCTTAGAATGCCGGTGAATGCTTAATCTTATTAATTACGTCATGCTCGGAACTGTTTATGGAGACTCTCGAAAGGATTATATTGTTCAATATGAATAGAATGTCACTCTAATGTTCATTAGCGCTCGGGACAGGAGTTTTCCGACGACAGTTATCGAAATCGTGACGTTGATTGATCGAATCCTTTGTTGAGAGCATCAAGCGGCAAGGTGTGTGGACAACGACATGTGCTCAAGGTCGGCAAAGAAATGGTCAAAGAAGAGTACGCGCACGGTGTTCGTGGTAAAAAACAATCATTGATGAACTCGATGCGATGAAGAATATTTTCAGAAAATAAATATGCAAAATTCGTGTTGACCGTTTCGAAAAGCGCGCGGGAAAACAAACATCAATCATATAAAATAATTCAGTTCGAGCAACCCGCTGAAAATGTTGTTATTATTATTATGATTATGATTATAATAAGAAATATATACAAGCAAGCGCGTTCTCGGCTGATCGACGACGCGACGACGAATAATTATAAATGCAAATGCATCGATACGAGACGAAATGTAAGGCCGAGTGGATGATGGCTCGAGCACGCAAGCGCGTGCACCAACAATAGGGCCATACTTTATATCGATCGGAATTGTCAGGTACGCGACGCGAACCCCGTTTTTTTAATAAACATCGTTCAAGATGTATCTGTCTGATTCTTCTACACACGGGGGACTCGGCGTAATGCTGAAAAAGAAGTACTCATTATTGATTCTCGACACGTCTTCGTGCCGAGGCCTACACAACAATAATGACGATGATATAAAAGGATGAGACGCTGAGGCTCTGTCTCTCTCTCTCTCTGTCAGCTTATATGCATGATTGTGTCCTACTCTGACCGATATTTATGGGGAACGCCCACGCACCACTCACACTTCAGCGTCGTGCGACGTACACACAGAGGGCAGACGAATACACACGCACAGACGCAGTTTCATTCACGATCGGAGTATACGTTTATACAAGCTGAACGCGAGAGCGGTATATATACGTGTAATCGCTTGTACGAGGATTAGTTTGTCAACGCCGCTGCCGCTGCTGCTATGCGCGTAAGTATAACCTAGTCCGCAACTTTCCCTCACTCCTTTCCTATAGCTGCAGTTCAAATTGCGGCGCGTCTATCTTGCGAATGCTCATGATAATAATAATATCCGTGCGATGTACTACAGAGCGTCAAGCTGCCGATATCAAATTCGATCTTGGCCGGTATTGCGAGTATTTTTATAATACGTAATAATACGGCGAGTTATGATATACACGTTTAGTGGCGGTGTCACTCGAGGAGCTGCACCGATTCGAGGAATCCTCGCTCGTCGCGACTTTGTCAATGCAGCGCGCGAAAAAAAAACGAGTTTATATGTATAATATAATAATAAAGTGGCGCTGAAAACGTTTAATGGAATGTGTCGGGGGGCTCGAAACGGAGTTTGACAGTCTCGTTCGCACGATACTCGATACGCGTCTTTCGAGATAAAAATGAGATTTACACCCAATATACGTAATAAAATAATGTATAATATAATATATAGAAGAAGTCGTCGGTCAGTTATATTCTCCGATTGTAACAATATATCTCGCAGGCAATGGCAGTAATGCACATGCACACACAGCAGCTGCACACGCACACGCCAGTTTATATACATAGCTAAAGCAGTGGCGCAAAGTTACAATAATAGAGTATAGCTCTCGGTGCAGCTCTCGGTGTTCCTCCTCTCTCATCTCTCTCTCTCTCTCTCTCTCAGTTCGCGCTACAAGTTCAAGAGCCGCGCTCAGGGACACTATTTGTGTGTAAGTGTAAGTGTAAGTGTAAGTGTATGTGTGTATGCGTGTGCTTTGCACTACGAGCTGCAAAAGCTGCCGAGTAGATTCTACGGCTCTCGCGAGCACGCGAGTGTAAGCGAATTTTTCCTACTCTTTAGTGTATGTATGTGTGCGAGTATAAACGTACATTATAAAAGAGAGGACATGCCAAGAAAGACAGATGTAGCAACAAGCCTCATCGGAGCCTTACTTTATCTCGCGCTTTTTCATGCTTTTTTATATCCCCCTTATAGCAGCTTTAATTGTTCAGACAGATACGCGCGACGACAACGACGACTCATGTGTGTGTGTGTTCTGTTTGTGTGTATTTGTGCGCGAGCTCTGCAAGGTAATGAGCACAGAGCGCACGACGAATTATTGTCGCGGACTGACGCTTTAATCGTACCGCGAGCGAGTCTCTCGTCAAAATGTTTTCTCTCGCGATTTATTTGTGCTCTCTCGCAGTCGTCGTCTTGGTCTTGGTCTTGCACAATGTAAATATGAGACAACTTAACGCTCGACTCGGCCGATTGCAATTTTTATTCCGCTCACAGTTCTGTTGTATATGTTTCGAATCGCGAAATTATTGATAAGTCAATCGAAGATAGAGTCGCGAGTCCATTAAACTGCGCGCGCAGCGTATAAATAAAATCTACGAATGAATAATCGCGAGTGTTCGCCGCGAAGGTGAATTTCTCACCTTTTCGCGAGAGATACACACTAGTCGTACACTCGAGTTATCTCGAGAGTTCGAGCAAGAAAAAAAGCGAAAATGAAAAAAAAACGAAGGAGTTCTCTCTCGCCGGCTTTTTATCGCGCGCTCGCGAGCTGCAAAGGTTCTTGCCACTTAAATACTGCATATGCAGCAGCTCTCTCTCTCTCTCTCTCTCTCTCTCTCTCTCACACACACACACATACACTCTTTATACACAACACGGAGTCTGAGATGTATTGTATGCACTCGTACTCATACACGCGTGTACTCGTTCTTCGAGTCTTTTTTAGCCGCGTGACGCCAGATAAGCTTACAGAGACGACGACGAGGGTATCCCAGTTACAACGTTGGCCGAATGTCGCCACACAGTCACGTACATTCGATTTTAATTTAACAACAATATGTGATGTCAATGTGTGTGTGTGGGTGAGTGAGTATTCAAATCGATCGATTCAAAGAAAGAATATCGTAAACATTTACGATTACGCGCGAGCCATACACACGTCTGGGCGCATTTTTAACCAGCTGTCAAAGACAAGATCAATTGTGACAGTCTCGAAAATTGCCTCCTACGCGTCGCGAATAAATATCAATAGAAGTTGAACTAAAAGAAGAAATAGTTTTCAGTCGCGATTATCGTCGTAGCGTATACGAATATGATTCACTCAGAAACGATCACCTATTCGAATCACGTAAAAGCCATAAAAATCATCGACCATCGGCTTCGCTTTGACTCTGGCTCCGATCCGTTTTGGCATGTGTATTGACTTTTCGCACTATTCTTATTTTTCTACGTCTACCTCTTTCGTGAGAATAGTCCGAGAAGTATAATACTTTTGAGTAACGAGTGTGAATCAAAGACGTTGAGAAATTCGGCACGATGTTGTTTCGGCATTCGAGACACGAGCAAAGTTGTTCGATTCACTTGTTCAATTCATGCTACTATCGGTCAGAGATCCTGTAATACAGGACGACTTCAAAGTTTATTCAATAAAAGTCAGATTTCACTAAATTTTTGTCCCTTTTGATGAAAAAATAAAAAAAAATCTCAACGATGACACTGCGTTAAGACAATGCAATGTAAAGGAAGATTTTTCTAGAACTCGTCTGTCGCCGACCGACGAACGGTAGAGTCCAATCTATCGTACACGCATATTGCATAGAGCCACGCCGCTCGAGCGCTGCAAATTGAATTTCGCGAAAGCTTGGCAGAGTGCGCAAAACAAATGGTAAATCATGCGTGTCTGTCTGCGAGCGCGAGCGATGGAAATTCAACTCTTGCCTTGAGCGCTGCACTAGCACACATACAACTGCAGCTCGCGTAGGTAGCCCCGCGTTTACGCGCGAACTTCATCACTCGCGTTCGCATTATTATACGTATTTCGACTGTGTTGGTGTAAGTGAGCGTGTCTGCGTGCGTTCCGAAGCGATTGCACTCGCCTATAGGGTAGTCCCCGAGACCTTGATAGTGACAATTTTTCGGCGCACTGTACATCTACGTGTAATCACCAAAGCTCCCTATTTCCAAGTACAAAATAAAAGCTTCGATCCCTAAACGGGTAAAACTCTCGAGCACTGCACTTGTCACTCGCACAGATCGCACATGCATCGTTACTAAAAATTACGATCGGGAGGTGAATTCGTCGTTGCCCGATATTCGCCTGTCGTTCGCTTGTTTGTATAAACGAAAGAACCCAAAACATGCACTGGTTGCAATAAATAAAATTACGTACAGCAAGTCTTCTCTTCTCTTGTTGCGTTAAGATTTAACAAGAACAGAAAACAACAATCGAGCACGTGGATCTGCAGAGTCGTCCTCGACGCAGCATTAGTCTCGTAGAAACAGTCGTGGTAGAAAAGTTTTGCATTTGCGACGAGTTTTTTTCAAAAACGCACAGTCGCAATAACAACAAAAAAAAAATCAAAAGCACAGGTAGTTTAACACACACCTATACACTTCGTGTTACACACGATTGTATACACAAATAAAATGTGTATACAAGAAAAATGTCTGTCAGCGTGTGTACGAAACGCACGATTGGAAAAAAGTGCGTTCGCGTACGATACACGTATGTATGGAAATTCGGAGCAGGCACACTCGCACTCGTGTATATATATTTTGTATGAAAACGCGGAGCGCGCCGATTGTATGTACGCGCAACACGCTCCTGTTAGGCCTGCTGTCTGACCGAGACTGAGATAGCTTCGCGCCGCATCAGCCCTCGACACATCCCTCGAACGAGCGAGCGAGCGAGTGAGAGAGAGAAAGAGAGCGAGTAAGACAGAGAGAGAGGCAGATTGAGAGCGCGCGCAGCACACGCACTTTCCACCCCGTACAACGCAGTAGCTATATATGTATATACGTTTTCGGCTCGAGTAGCCGAGTAGAGCGAGAAGGAGAAAGTACGCGTATATCTGTAGCGTGTGTCCGCACGACAACAGTCCCCACTCTGATAGCTGTCAGTGTGTGTTTGTATACACATGCATGTAGCAGTAAACAAACGTGTGTGTATGTGCTTGAGTCCCTCCTCGAACACTTGGCCGTGTCGTGTGTGGGGCCCGTCATCGCTGTCATTCTCGTCCAACGTGTCTTTGGCCTCGATGATCTTGACCATTGATCCAAAACTATGGAAAATTATTGTTTATTGTTTTTTCATGATTCTGGCAGAAAATGACCGAAAAAAACGCAAGTATCCACCGAACGGCAAATATTTTCGATGCAGACTAGAGAAGAAAGCAGCTTCGTGTTCAGTAGCAGTGGAGCAGCTCCGTAGAGTGGCGCCGCGCGGCGGTTGCTCGACGAAGCGGGGGTGGTTTTCCTCTAGCGCACACCCCTTGCCCACACTGCACGCGCATATCACGGCCAGAGCTACGCTATACATCGAGGCAGCAGCAGCAGCGGCAGTTCTCGAGAGGCTGCTGCGATCGGCTGGCGCTCTATACATAACGTTCGATCACTGACACGCCGCCCGAGTGGGCGTACGAGGCTACCTATATCTACCTTATATGCGCGCACGGTATAGGTAAAAGAGCGCGGCTTATTGGAAGGATATCGGTGATTTCAACGTCGTGTGATCGGAAGGCATGTCGCGCGCGACTTTCTGTTTCAAACTAATTTTTTTTAAGCTAAACCCATCTCTCTGGTAGATAAAAAATTATTACGTGCCGATCATTACTTTAATGCGGGGGGTTGAGAATTCAAACTCGAAGAAATGTATTTTCTCCCCCCTCGAAGTTGCCTTTTATATACGCAGAAGCATTTAGTGGACCGATGGATACGAATGCGAATCTAAGACCCGAGCTCATATGTATACATACATAGGCATGTATTATTACGCGCATTGATAGCCTTGCCTTTTATTACGCATATAGTTTTTCTTCGGACCCACGTCGTTATATTAGACGATGTTATATTCAGCAGTGCGGGAGTAGTAGTTGGTACGGGCAGTTTTATCACTGTATATATACGCGCGCATAAGTAAGATTAATGTTGGAGCCATTCGATTAAGTGTAGGAATATATCGCGAGAGATCAATACTATATTTCGCTCATATATATACCAGCAAGTCTCTCTGCATGTGTGTATCTACGCGCGTGACGCGTTTTAATGCGAGAGAGCTCGAGCATACGTATATATAGGGGACGCTCTCGAGGTTACATTATTATTTCGATACATTGCATGATGATGACGAAGACTAGTCTGCCTATATGTACAGGCTGTAAATTCGGTGCAGCAGCTCGGCTATATACATGCGAAAAGTAGCTATTAAACATGCAATTCGTTCTTCTCTGTGACACACTCCTTTTCTTTCAGCGGCAAAGCGAGTTTTTCAATGAAGTGCGGAAACGTGACTTTTAATAATTCCGAAACTCGTTCGTTCATTTTTTGCTCAACTTTTCGTGACTTATACCGACAGCTTTGTCGCGTACATACAGCAGTATTGGTATATTCGCGAATTTCTCTTTGGTTGTATTAATGTTTCGATATTGAACAGCCTTCCGGATAACTGAAGGACCATTATCATAGATCAGGGCTCGTTCCAAAATTAAAGTATTACTTCAAGGAGGTACACTCTATCCTTTGGATAGAAATTTATATTCATCCGCAAAATTTTCAGTTTCGTACATATCATTTGTAATAATCTACACGCGATGCACGTTTCGGAGTATCGAGACGTTTCGAGCTAAACGGATCGTGCAGGAAGATGATTGTGCATTGTGTATTACTCAATCGCATTATCGATTGCGATTTATTTCGTCGATTCTTTTATAATTCAAATGGGCCTTGGCCCTGAATGGCGCAGACAGGCAAGTTTTTACATACACGATCAGCTTGCATACTCGTGCACAGGAATTATCCGGGAGAATGGCCTCGCGTGGGGGGCGGAGTAGCATCTTTCTCTCTCTTCCTCCTCGTCGAAGCGGAGAACGAACGAATACATGTTCACGTATGTGTGCCGGTGCGCGCGCGCGCGGGCCCGAACCGCTATTGTAATTTGAAAATAAAAAAAAAGTAAATAAAATCGAAAGGCTGCTCACGTACTTGTAGCGACACATATTATTCAAATAATATAATTGTGAATGTATATAAGGCCCCTCCGATACGTTTTGTCGATTTGATTCGCGGGCGAGCGCGAGGCCAGGCGGGCAAGCTCGAGAGCGAGAGAGGCAGAAAGAACATAAGAACTTCCGGCTTTGGCAGTGCAGTGCGAGTCGGAGGAAACGATTAAATTGAGATCAGGCTCTCTTACGTGTACGCGTGTGTGTGCTGCTGCTGCTGCTGCTGCTGCTGCTGCTACATACACTTGAGCTATGTACCTTATAAAAGAGCATCAAAGATGTACTCACTTCTGTATAATATGCAGTAATGTGTGTTACACACGACTTACGGTATATACATGAAACGTTCATCGGCTCTGCACTGCTTATATACGTTCCGCACGTTCACGGTCAAATACATCGAGCGACAACGACGACGCGTGGTAATATTGTTCCAGTCGGTCCGTGTGCATATTGCATACTCTTCTCCAGGAATTAATGTTGCTCTGGACTTGTCGCTATTTCGGGGAGAGCAACAGTCGTGGCGGCGATCGACCTCTCTCGTTCTCTTCCCTCTTTGCTCTGCTACTACTGCTGCTGCTACTGCTGCTGCCGCTACTGTTGTCGTCTCTGTGCGATAAACATTTCTGCTGACGGCTGAATCGCGGCGTATGGCAAAAGCCGATTTACTGCACTCTGTGTGCGCGTGTGTTTGTGTACGTGCACGAGCCGGGACTCGATGCACTTTGTCGCGATGATGCTTCTGACTTCGATTTTCCCAGAAAGAGCTGCAACCACGGCGACGAGCCTCGAGGTGCTCGAGTTTTGTAAATTAAAATCGAGTGCAGTGCACCGGAAGTTATGCATTCGGGGACCTCACACGACAATGAAACGCCGAAATTCTCCAATTGCTTAATGAGAAATCGACGAGGGACCTATCGATTGTATTTATAAAAAAAATAATAAAATATAAAATATTTCCCTTCTTATGAGAGCAAGCAACCATGTTGAACATCATTGTAAAATTAGATTACAATAATAATATAATATAGGCCAGTCGCGATCGTGCTTGTACATATAAATGCGTGCATAACACGTAATGCATCGTTATAAGCGGGCGAGCGACCATATAATATGGAGTGCCGTACGAGTCGAATTTCGCGCAATACGCGCGACATTCGATACACGTATATATTAACGTCTATAATACGTCGACGTCGTTTACCGAACGAGTAGTAGTACAGCTACGCTGTATGCGTGTGCTCGTCAGTGCAGGTCAGCCAGCCGATTACAAGCCAAGATAAATCTCGTCCTGCATGGGCTGCATTCGGACGTCATGATTTTCCCAGAATGTCGAGCTAATAATCGTTCGATCGTGGCGCCCGTCTATGGAATAATGTCGCTTTGGAGATATTCTTTCGACTTGAGCTTGCGCAATTGCACATTTTGTGTTGATATTAATGTAACAAAAGATAATTAAGAGTAATCAAATTCTAAGTTTAATTCCTTCGATTGTTCTGCAGTATTTGAGGTCTATTGTTCTAATGGTTTGTATATTTTGTAAAATTACCTATTTATACTGCAAGCACCGGGAATATATATCAGTTCTACTTCTAATTTTAAATTTAGTTTAAAAAAAATGTTTTTTTCGTCCTCAAATTTACAATATTAAAACACCCGAATTATGAAGAGATTTTATTGATAAGAGTGCATAATTAAATCAAAAAATCAATTATATTGATTTTTTAAATGGAAATAATATTCAAATTTAATTAATTGGAGTTCGTAAAATTAAATCAATTGGGCGGTAATTGTTTCGAATAATTTTTTTTCTCGATGTGCATATTGCTAGTTGGGTTATTTGTCAAAGAAAAGCCGCAAGTATAAACACGCACACACACAAAACGCATTTAAATCGCTCTAGGTAATAGGAGGAACTATATAGATATACATGCAATAAAAAATATATGTGTATAAGCGGCTGCGCGTGCACACACACGCACTTCCGTCATGCACGAGGAAACGTGCGCACTTCCACTGCGCCGCGAAATAAAATCGATACACAATGTGTGTAAGTGTGTGTATATCTGAATGGTATTAAAAAAAATTGTTTGTGCGTATTTGTATATAAATGTGTGTATGTACACGATGTCATGTCAATGCGCGCGGGCAAAACAATACACGTTATGCGACATCGAACGATCAAAAAACGACAGCGCGCGTGTGTGCGTCTGTGTGTATGTGAAGCAGACATTGGCCATTGCGAATTTTCGCAATACCTAATAAGAGAATGAATGAAAAAAAGACACACGAATGCAATTTCCGTAAACAGGGCGCTGCTATACTGCCTGCGTTTTGCCGATAATACCAATTGCGTGCGGCCAGAATGTAAGTGAGCCTGTGTATGTGAGCTCACGGACATAAAGACACACATATACACACACACAGTTGAGCGCGCGAAAAGCAAAAGCGGAAACACTTGGATGCGATACATGGCATGCATTTTTATCCAGAGGCACGCGATCGAGCCTCGTATATCGAGCTCGAACTCGCCTGCGAGTATGGCGCAGCGTCATCTCGAAAATCGATGAATGAACGATGTTTATCTTTTCGCGCCCGATGTGTAT